CAATAATTAAAAGCATAACATTATATTTTTATGGCCAATATTATATCCTACTAAGGCATCATTACTTAGCACGAGCAGAAACGCCGCCCTACAGGCAGCTAGGGCCTGAAATGGCCCGGTAGTTAGGGCGATCGACTGGCAATCTGCGGGTTCCAATCCCCGTTCCCACCAAACATGTTCGACCTTTCAGCCTTGGGAGCGTTATAATGTGACAATCAATCCCACCATTCGTTTGTAAAAGATAAGCCCACGAGTTGGCGATGTGTGGTGATGACTAGCTGCCTTCACTGTAGTCTTTCACTGCTAAATTAGGGACGGCTAGCGCAGATAGCCCTCGTGTAGCTTTGCGTGAAAGAAATTCAAAACAAACGAACGGGCGACTGTTTGTGCTAGTAATTACTAATCGTAGTATTCATACCTCATCGAAAACAATTTAGAAAAAGTAAACATTTTGTAAAAAAAGAATATTTTTTTCCCCTCGGAAGTACTGCATGGGAAAAGTGTTCGGATTGTGCTCTTTAGTCATACGAAACTCACTGCATCAAAATGATTCAATGTACAGAGCTCATAATTTTCCGAATTTTTACGCATATTGTAATGGCTTGATATCTTAAAAGTTCTACCCTTTTTTGAAAAAATAAGTTTTTTTTTTAAGAACGCCAGTTTCTCAATAATACATTTAAAAATTACATCAATAAAGATATAATTAAACCAAGTACAGTCATAGTGAAAGTCGTGTTCTTTTTGTGAGGATAGTAATTTTATATAAAATTGTGTTCTGTGGAAAAAAAAAAAGTTGTTGCACATACCACAGTTATTTTTCTAATTGTCTGAATCTTGAATACCCAAAGTGTGAAATTTATTTATGGATTTTTGTTTGTGGTGCCGTCCAATAGATGGCGCAGGAGTTTTGGTTACATACATAGATACTGACATACACGCTACGTCCATTATAGTAAGATTATAGCTGCGTTTATTTCTTGTCGAACGTTTCCCCGAAAATGTTTCAAACATATCAAGTAATAAAGTACGTGTGATCATCATTTCAAGGTTGATACAAGCCATCCTTTCGTCAACATGGCCGAAGGTTACTGAAAAAAACTTTCAACACCAACATATGGTGAGTTTTATCTTCCTCGAGCCATCGTATAAACTCGAATTACAATTATTCATGACGTCTGAGAAAGATCGTGATTGGTCTCTTGCGACACTCCCCAAAGATCCGTTCATCTTGTTCCTCATTCACGTAAAATATGAACTGTTTTTCAGTTAGATGATCGACTTTTAATTTCAGGGAAGAGGTAAGTTCTTTAGATTGTTTTTCTAAGATCGAATAAATTTACGTGTATGGTTGAGATTACCGTATAGATGGTCAGTTTTCAGGACGCTTCTACGTATTTATACACGTGTGTGTGTGTGTGTGTGTGTGTGTGTAAAATTCATTTGGCTAGCTAGATTTTCTATAAGGTCTAAATTGAAATGTTTGTTTCCATATCTCAGTCATTAAAGAAAAATTTTGGATCTGGTCAAGCAGTTGGTGTGTCCGGTAGAAGATCCGAGGACTCGCGGTTCGCGTTCCGTTCTCGCGAAACAAATGCGCTTCGCTCTTTGGGGCGAGGGGTGCACTAGAAGATGGCAGTGGCAGTCAAATCCCTCTATTCGATCAGGTAAAAGTAATTCAAGAATCGGTGGTGAATCTGTTGACTAGCTTCATTTCTCTAGCCTATTAGTTCAAAATTAAGGACGGCTAGCGTGGAGATCCCATTTGTGTGGCTTTGTGCATAATACCCAAACAAACAAACTTAGGCTTACTTTCCTCCCACGCGACATATACATATATGTTAATGTAAGTAGAAGATGCGTGTTGGATCCTCAGAATAAAGCAAACCCAATTTTGTAACTTCCATTTCTGGCACTTTGGTGTCTTATTAAACTATGGAAAACTCATATATACAATTTCAAGTCCAAAGCATTCAAACACTTACACTGTCTAATTATTTCATACCTGGTTTGGTCATTCGAATGCTCAGAGACCAGTTGACCTGCAACAACAATGATGCAACCAAGGTTAATATCAATGAAGATTACGAAACTTCTAGACTCAAAATCGCGAACAAAAAAATATATTGTATATTTAAAACATGTACCAAAATATGCCTGTTAATTTTAGTTCAGAAATTCGCTAGCTACGCGTCATTACGTCAATGCGATATAATTTCATATAGAGTACAAGTACAATTAGGGTTGTAATAGTGAAAAAAATATATACCTTAACTATGGTTTATACTTGAAACGTTTGTCTTAGAGCAAAGTCACATTGGGCTATTTGCTGTGTTCACCGCGAGGAATCGAACCCCGAATATTATCATTGTTAGTTCATAAACTTAGCGCTGTCCCACTTGGGGACTGCTTTTTTTTTAAAGGGGGGAGTCTCTTGTAACAAATTTAAAATATTGTATTGTATCATTGTGAGACTTTCCACTATGTTAAAACTATTATTTATTGCGAGCTTTCAGCCTCTATAACAAAGTTTGTTGAACTTCACGAGAGCTACTCGTCCCTAATTTAGACACATTCAGTGACAGGGTTCGAACCCGTGACCTACAGATTGTAGAATCGAGCGCACTAACCATGAAACCATACCAGGCTATCCCTATACCATCTAAACATGCTCTTCTTGTTGCTTAGACCTGTCTTTGTCTTCGTTAAAACTGTACCTACTAAATCATTATTTGGTCGTTATAAAGTCTTCTGCTTGCTCTTCTCAAGCATAGTTTATATGCTAAAGTTTTAATTAGTAGATATCTTAAAACAATTAACATTTTATCTACTACTGCAAGGTATTCCGTCACTATTTAGTCCTAACCACTGACGTTATAAGTTATGACGTCAGTGTTTCTAACGTACCCATTTTAACTACTTAAACATTTCGATACTCCAACAAAGAAAATTATATTGTAAATGACATTTGAATATATAATATGAACACGATGAAAAAGTCGCAGAAAATATCAGTAGAAGCCAGAATTTTTAATCCGAAGGGCTCATTATGCGACACATAGGTTAAACTGGCCAGGCTAGAGACCCCTTATGGCTCAGGTTCCTAGTTTTGACCTACCGACCAGAAGGAAAGCAACCAAATAGCTATATTATGTTCTTTGAACCAAATGACGTAAATAACTGTCACTTTAATCAATAAAGCTAGCTAAGAATGCGAGACACTTATATATTATCGCTCGAACATTGGACCCTTGATTTACAGTTCAACCCTATTAGTAAAAAAAAAAAGAATATAAGTAATGTAATTATCAGTTCTATGATAATGTAATCTCAACAACAAAATTTTAAATAGAGATGATAAAGCCTTTGGAACTAGCTTTATTGCCTGCATGCGTAAACTATTGTGAAATCAACTATTGTTGTAAGCTTCACTGTTTCTATAGTAACACAGTTGCATTGTTATCGTACGAAAGTTTATAATCAGCACAGTATTAGCTGTAGTATATGGTTACAATTGGCCTATACGTTAATTCTCTGATGGATGGGTGGGAAATAAGCGTATCTCTTTGACACCTTATTTTATATGTATTGTTGATCTTTCAATATTGAAAGCAGTGTTGTCAAATTCAGGGTTAGAATGTTAGATCCCTCATATTAGTTTCTAAATCAATGATGGGAAATTGGAAAATGTCTTTCATTAAAAATTACATTGCGATTATTTTTCAAAACATAAAAGAAACGTGGAATGAATAATCTCAGAAACTGTTGGAATCACTAGCGCTATCTCTAGGCCTTGTTTTTTTGTTGTTTTCTATTTATGCAAATCTATTTAGCTAATGAGTATGTATTATCCTGGACAAGAAAGATCACAAATCCTAGGAGAGGAACTGTTTAACATATGTAATACTTTTATTATTTATCGTTGTTTCTAAAATATGGTTTGTTGTGAAGATTATTTTGCATTGTTAGCTTAGAATACGGATTTAGCATTAACCAAACGGACCAATCCTAGTGATAAGGGATTATGAACGAAGTTATCGCTAAGAGCGAGGGTATCTAACTGATAATTCAATGCATTCTAATCATTATAAGTAAGAATGATATATTTATTACCCCCAGTAGCACAGCGATACGTCTGCGGAACCTACTGAACTGAATAATTAATTCAAAATAAAATAACAGTAGGTAAGTTTGATTCTGATTGTTAAAACGTTTCGACCCACAGTATCTAGTCATGAACAGATAAACGTTACATTCAAAAAGACAGTTAAGTTTAAAGGAACGTTACAGACTCGTGATGGTGAGGACACCCAAGGTCTGCGCAAGTTTGAATGTGGAGACGGTTATTAAGGCAGTACTAATGGTCAAAAAACATTTTACACAGTAATGTACTGAATTTTATGACTATTTAATGAACAAAAAACAAACAAACATAACTTATACGTTACATTCATTCTTCATAAAAATGCGTCTAAAAAAGGTTCAAAGTAATACAGTAGTATGTTTGAAAATGTCGTGAATTCTTTAAATATATCCAGGTATGTGTTGTTAAGATTTAACGAAAAACTTATTTGTACGGCAAAATTTTAGAATCCCAATTTTGATGCAGCGCTGTAGCATCAAAATGTTTTTAAAAGCCAGTTTTCAAGGTATTGTATATGCCATTTTCTGCTAATAAAATTTTGTTACAGTTTTATATTTTAAAGAAAATGCACGTGTAATAGGCATGTTTGAACGTGTTTTGTTTTGATTTGAGTTTTCTGTGTAATTTCCTAAAGGTTTATTTACAAGGTAAATATTTTGTTCAGTTCGCAGAATTCTGTTAACAGGTGCAAAGCCCGTCATGGCCAGGTGGTTGGGACTCGCACTCTGCGGGTTCGAATCCCCGTCGCACCAAACATGATCGCCCTTTCAGCCGTGGTGGCGTTATAACGTTACGGTCAATCCCACTATTCGTTGGTAAAAGAGTAGCCCAAGAGTTGGCGGTGGGTGGTGTTGACTAGCTGCCTTCTCTCTAGTCTTACATTGCTAAATTAGGGACGGCTAGCCCAGATAGCCCTCATGTAGCTTTGCGCGAAATTCAAAAAACGAACAAGTGCAAAAAACATGGACGACTACTTCAAACTTTTGAAGGTAGGGGGAGTACTAATAGTACCAACATTACCAACAGTGGTTTTTAGATTTAAAAGAACCTCTAACCACTTCTTTGTCACTGGTAACCTGATGAAGGGCTGTTGCCCGAAATGTCGTGTTTTTTTTTGTTGTTAATAAAGTTATTTTAATTTGGTAAGTTTTCACCACTACTTTTTATTCTATTTTGCATTATTGTTCATTCATATACTTATAACGCTTTCTCTTAAACTCACTTAAATTTACTGCCTCCACAAAATCCGAAGGCAACCCATTCCAAAGGGTTAGAAAAATAAAACTGTCTCAGCTGAAGATGACTCTTACCCTGCCAAAATTTATATTTGTATCCCCTAGTCCTACTATTCTCACTGTTAAGTATGAAAAAAGATGATGCATCAACACTATCAATTCCCTCTACAATCTTAAACACCTCAATCAGACCCCCCCTAACTCTTCTTCTTTCAAGAGAAAACAATTTAAGAGATTTCAACTTCTCGTATGACAACCCCTTCATCCCAGACACCATTCGAGTAACACTTCTCTGAGCCTTTTCCAACAATTCAATGTCTTTCCTAAGAATTCGAATTGAGTGAAATACCACAACATAATATATTTTGTAGAATTTTGACACGTTCTACGAGCATATATATAAATATGTGTGTGTGTGAGATAGAGAGCACGTTATTCCGTTCTGCAGGCAGCTTGTCGTATTATCGAGTAGATTTTTTTTTAATGGAGATAAAACAATCACATGATGAGTCTTGGTTGTAGATAATATAAATGTCAAATCTCATAAAGCGATAAATGTGTTAAATATAACCAACATTCTCGTTTTCAGTTCTCACTGATTTGACCAGATACCTGAGGACTGACAACTAACAATGGTTGGGCTACCAGCTTTAGCGACAGAACCCACATTGGCCATTAAAGTCGTCAGTGCAGGTAGTGCAGCTTGTATTGCTGATATCATAACTTTCCCGCTAGATGTCGCAAAAGTACGACTCCAGGTAAGAAAAGATTTTTTTTTTAACTTGACAAAACCAGAAATCATATCGAATTTGTTCAAGGTGACATCTTCATTGTATTGTAGGCATTACGTTGCTGTTAAGAACCTCAAATCTACGCTAAATGCAAATATATTAATCTAGCGGTTTATGTAATTACTGTGCATAAATACTAACATTACAACAGACTTCAATATATAAAACACATTTTTCCAATGTATCTAAACATTTAGAATGTGACTTTACGGACGTTTTCCATAGCCCAGCTTATCTACTTAAAGTATACATTATCACCACGATAATCATATACCAAAATACTGAGAAAATATTATGTGACACCAATATAATGGCCGTAAAAAAAAACAACTATGTTTTAGACCTGTCCAAAATCGGGTGTAGTCTAGAGATTAGTGTAGTAGGACTATGAAATGAGGGTTCACGGTTGGTTGCCACAAAATGGCGCTCTGCATTTTGGAGCACTATATACGCTATAGCATATGAGTAATGGTCAAATCTATTTGGTCAGAAAAAAAAAGTAGTTAAAGAGTTGGCGGTCGGTGCTGTTGACTAGCAATCTTCCCTCTAGTCTTTCAATCCAAAATTATGGATTCCTATGCGCTTTTGTGTAGCTTTGTGCGAAAATTCTGAAGTGAACAAAACTAATTAATTTATATTTTTCATTTCGGTCGTTAATCTGCTTCCGTCATCAAGGAATTTCTGAACAGATATTTAGTATTTAACTAATATATAGACGTAGGTGCTCGAATAGGCTAATATAAGAATGATGACTGATATCCGATCGTCACAATCATACCGTAACCTAAGTTATTCTTGATATTGTAAGAGAGGTCGGTACTGTAGGTTTACTACCCCCCCCCCCTTTATGTAATATGTAAAATATTTATAATTTCTGGTAACTTCCAATTTTGGTTTCAACATAGAAAATAACTCAAGTGCACAACTTAAGTTGTCATCATTCTAACTGCGACGGAACCAGGTTCGCTCTTATTGATAATTAAACGTGTTTTCTTGCAGGAAAGATAGTTTTAACTTTTCACCTGACGTCTCAATATAAACAGCTGTCTTTTCTGTCGGCGAATCCGGTAATTTCCTCGGGACATGGACTGCTCTTATGCTAACGCTAAAATATTCTAAGGGAAATGTGAGCTCTGAGCAGGCTGGCTTCGTTTTTATGCATGCATAAAAGGCCAGAGAGAGTTTTAGATTGAAATATATACAGATTTAAAGATTTTAGATATATTAATGTTTACTTAGAGACTTTGAAATACTTAGATAAATATTGTGCAGTTTTGTGTTCAGCCTCTTTTTCTGTGTTATGTCCCCCCGGTGAGACAGCGGTAAGCTTACGGACTTACAACGCTAAAATCCGGGGTTTGATTCCCCGCGGTGGACATAGCAGATAGTCCAGTGTGGCTTTGCCCTATAATAAACAACTAAACTCTGTGTCACACTCAGTCAAAGTTGGGGAGAGTTGAACCTTTAATTCGTGATTCGAGTTCTGTCGAACCTCTAGTCACCTTGCGTTTCCTGTCGATGTACTCTGACGGGAAACAGTGAATTTGAGAACACCACAGTATGAAACGTGCTCGTTTGTCAGGCGTGTGCTCTCCAATCATTCTTGAACTAACGATAAGGCGGTACAAAAATTCGATCCGAATTCCAATATTATTAGTGCCCTGCCAAACCCTTTCGTCAGCACTCTCTGTTACACCTTTCAAACATTGGTTTTTAAGCATCGAGCGCATTCAGACGGCTCTCAGTGCCTCAGCGGTAAGTCTGAAGGCTTATAAAGCTAAAAACCGGGTTTCGATACCCGTGGTGGACACAGCACAGATAGCCAGTTGTTTCGCTTTGCGCTTAACAACAAGCAAACACATTCAAATATTTCCACATTCACTGTAATAATAAGTATTATCTTCCCCAGGAGGCGGAAGGCTACAGTGTTCTTGACCTATTCGTCATGGGAATTTTGATCAAGTTACACGAAGACATTAAATATATGAAGGATAACTTCTCAGCTTTCTCGAGTGCAGATTAAAGAATTCTTAAAATTTGTTTAATGTTTAAAGGATTCGGAAAATTTCTGTTGGCCTAGAATTTTCGCAATGCGTTGGCGTAAGTCCTATAGTAGGAGTTTGTATTAAGCGCCCCCCAGTGGCACAGCGGTATGTCTGCGGACTTAGAACGCTAGAAACCGGGTTTCGATACCCGTGGTGGGCAGAGCACAGACAGCCCATTGTGTAACTTTGTGCATAACTACAAACAAACAAACATACATTGTATTAAGCATTTCTTTTTTAGAGTCGAGAGTTTTTAGATTAGTCAACGAATTTCAAGTTTCGGTTAATGTCACCGACTTAATAGTCAAAATAGGCTTATCTGTGCGAGTTTATTGTTTATTTTTCCAAACGTAAATCAAACTTGCTATTATGCAAGACAGTACCTAGAAAAAAATTTAAACCTGGTTTATCTAATGTGTTTAAAATACTCCTTAATGGGCAGATCACAGATAGCCCTTGTGTAGCTTTGTGCATAATTCAAAACAAACAAACAAACAAACATTATTTCATCAATAAACTATGAAAAGGAAATTTACTTGTAACCGTTATTCAATATCAACGTGTATTTTATTAAACTTTGTAGTTAACAAATATTGAGAGCAATTCTAAATTCAGTGGATCGGATCAGCAGTAGATTTCTTGACTTACAAGGCTAAAGTCCGGAATTCGATCACCCATGGTGATCAGACCAAATAGGGCCCCGGCATGGCCAGGTGGTTAGGGCGCTCGACTCGCAATCTGTGGGTCGCGGGTTCGAATCCCCGTCACACCAAACATGCTCACCCTTTCAGCCGTGACGGTCAATCCCACTATTCGTTGATAATAGAGTAGCTCAAGAGTTGGCGGTGGGTGGTGATGACTAGCTGCCTTCCCTCTAGTCTTACACTTGT